TTATTTTTTATTTATTTATTTATTTTTGCTTATGTACATGGTCATGAAAATTACAATACGAGTGTACAATAGGGTTGCATTAATTCTTAAATTCTTTTGATCAAAATGTTGTTTCATGTTACAAATGCTTTAAAGATTATGAAATAAGGATATGTTTAAACAAATTTCTTCATAAGCTGAAATTAACTTATGTATAAATTAATTTGTAAAAGTTTTTTCCTATTAGATTCTTCAAAATCTTATTTTTAAGTTATATATAAATTAATTTTAACTTATAAAAAAAATATTTCAATTTTTCTTTCTGTTTTTCTCTCAGAAATATTTTTTGGAAAACTTATCAAACATGTCTAAAGATTTTATTGGGTGTCAAATCTTGCCATGCTTCTAATGATGATGCTTATTTTCTCATTTATTTGTAGAGATCAAGTGATGGACAAGTTAAAAGCAACCCAAAGTTTGCAGATGAAGGTTATGAGGAGGAGGATGAGCATAGTGAAACCCTTTGTGGGAGCTGTGGTGGAAATTACAATGCAGATGAATTTTGGATTGGATGTGATATATGTGAGAAGTGGTTCCATGGGAAGTGTGTGAAGATTACTCCTGCAAAAGCTGAGAGCATAAAGCAATACAAATGCCCATCATGCAACTTGAGGCGGGGCAAGCCCTAATCTGGAGGCAATATGTGAAGTGAATAATGTTGTGTTATGATCAACAAGATATACTATAATATAGTTACATCGATCTCTTGTAGTTCATGTTAACAATATAGTAATATGTCTGATCATAATCTTTCAGATCAAGTTAATTTCTTCTATCAAATTCTCAATGTATTTTATATAATTTATAGAATAGAATACTATACATATACATTCTATTTTGTCAATTTTCTGTATTTTGCATGAATTTACCTGCTGTATGTATAGTTATTTTACCTTCTGTGTGAATTTGAGATAAAAGGTGGTAAAATACTATAGTGAGAGAACTATACCTTTACCTAAATCTTTTAATTATATTGATGAATAGGGTTGATCAAAGATTTTTCTGTACGTTATTCTTAAATACTCGGGTCAAACTTGATTGGCCTTAATTATAAGTTATAAGGTTATATTTGATTTGAGAGTAATTTTTAAATATTAAAAATATAGTATTTTCCTTTCTTTTCTTTTTTTAAAAATTATGAAAGTAATTTTTTTTTTCATTTTGATTTGGTTTTTAAAGAATGATGAATAAAAAAGTTGTTTTTTAATATTTTATATTCAAATATATAAAATTTAGGAAATAAGGTTATTTTGTTAATTATTTGGAAAATTAAGATTTTCTTTGTTTCAAACCAAATAGGATTTATTTATTTTTATAAATGTCCTTTAACTTGTGTTGCACAATGTGTCCATAATTTTGTAGACGACGACGATGAAGTCTTTCAAATTACACTTTTGACATTTGCAACTCAATTGGTTTTGGTGGCTCAAGTACTATTATAGACTAGACTATTAATGAAATTTTTAATTTTTAATTTTTTAATTTTGACTGATAAGATTTTATGGGTTGAGTAGTTTTGTTACAATTTCAAGATAAATGTTAGTTTCACTCGACTGATCTTAGAAAGTGTTTTCATAATTCATTAACTGGAAAATTTATATGAAATATATACTAAATTTTCATAAAGATTGCAGGTAAGTTAATTTTATGTGGTATTATAAAAATATTAGCATATTATTGTCAAACCTCTATCTTCTGCATTTTAACATGGTATAAATTGTTGTTTTGTTCTATTTTATGCATACATTTTTTTTATAGCAAAACTACCTCCTTTTACTATAAGTGTGTAAAAGACAGGCGATTCACTGTAAGTGTGCAAAAAACAGGCGAGAGAACATAAATGGAAGAATTGGTGCAAAATTAGATTAAAAAATAGTTAATATGAAGCTGAAAGATATAACACAATCATGCTAACTTCATGTTGGACTGCATGCTCATGAAGCATATCCTAACTCAAGTTAACACGGTTGTGTTTCATTGTAACACGATCATGTTATCTTAAAAAGTGTTTGAGTTAGTGTGAATCAAACCAATACTTGTGTTCTCCTATGTCAGAATTCTCATTCAAGTACAAAATCATTACAAGTAGTCAACCTGATTTTCTGCCTACTAAATTAGCTAAACTACTATATTCATATTTATCCTAATTATTCTAATAAAAGAATAATAATTATAAATGATTTTACAATTACATATAATTTATCTTTTTCATTTAAATTCATTGACATCCCCCTCAAATTAATGATGATAAAGCAAGCATCAATTTGTCAAGTAAAAAATTGTGTTACTGATGTGTTGATGTTTTAGTGAAAATGTTAGTTATTTGAACAAATTTCGAGACATGTGAGAGAGTGATGACTCTGGGATCACATGCTTTGATGCAATATGGATAGCATTGGTGTTGTTAGCATGCATGGAGTGGGTTGTGCTCGAGGGCATCCAAGCTCTATAAGAAAACCATACAATCATATTGAATAAGTAGTAGACATTGCACAATATTTTTGCTTTGGTGGATGATTTTCATATTGAATCTTGTTTCTTATATTTCCATGAAATAGGAGCATTAACATACACCAGCCAATAGTAGATCTCTTCGTGTCTAAACAACCAATTAGCATCACTATATTCTTGGAGTTGGAGAAATGAATCAACAGGAAAACATAAACTATGCTTTGAGGTGCCAAAGAGATATTTAATAATTCATTGTACTAATAAATGGGTGTTGTGGAGATTGCATAAACTTACTAATAATATGCACAACAAATAAAATATCCGAGTGAGTGATTGTTACATAGATGAGACTACCAACAAGCTTTTGATAAAGATTGGGATCATTAAAAAGGTCTCATTCATCTTGTTTATATTTAACATTAACTTTCGTTGGAGTATCAAAATGGGTTGCATTTGTGAGTCAAGCTAGGTGCACAAAATCTTGAATATACTTTTGTTGATTTAGAAAAAATCCTTCCCAAGAAATAAGTGAGGTTCCCCAATTCTTTAATGTGAAATATTGAGTGCAACATGTGTTTGATTATAGAAATAACCTCTCGATCAGGACTAGTCATCACAATAACATCTACATAAATAAGAAGCACCACACTACCTTTAGTCATTTGGAGGAAAAAGTGATAGGTACTGATTTTGATTGAAAGAAAAAACAAGTATCATGCAGTAAAACTTTTCAAACCATACTCTTAGAGTATGTTTTAATCCATATAAAGAGCGTTTCAGTGTACAAATAATATTAGGTAAGGTGTGCAGGCATCACCATTAGGAAGTTTGATGTGAACTCCCTTCTTGAGATCACCACCAAGGAATACATTTTTTACATTTATTTGATGTAAGGGTCCAGTTTGAGATGCAACAAGAAAGCAAGAATAGTGCACACAATATGGTCATTTGGGTAACTAGAGCAAAAGACTTATCATAGTCTAGACCATATATTCTAGTTTATTTCCATGCACAATTAGTCAAACCTTATAATAATCTTTAGATCCATTTGAATGTAGTTTTATAGAGAACATGAACTTATTGCCTAAAGGTTTAACATACATGGGACATGACACCATATCTCATGTTTGATTTTTTTTTTCTCTAAGGTATGAAGCTCAACTTTAACAAGCTTTTTCCAAGATTCATTCCCCATGGCTTGTTTATAAGAAGAGGGGACAACAATAGATGATAATTTTTTTGTCAAGGAACTAATACACCTTTCTAGGGCTTATGAACACATGAATTGTGTTATAGAGAAGCTAGTTTAGATTCTTGTACTTGATCAATAACCAAGGAATTATCTTGAAGGGTCTATGAGGTTGGATTGGTTGATTTTGAATGGCAACACTTCGTCTTTTATAAGTCAAAGAAAGATTTAGATAATAATTGTCCTACAAAAGAGTTAAAAAAACAATGGAAAAACAAAAATTAGAGAAAAAAAGAGTCATGACGTGCTACAAACAAATATGTATTTGTTGGAAAATGACATATCCATAGATGTATATTTATACAAAAGCTTATTAGTCAAGTTAGTTTGTATATATATGTGATATAATAAAAAATAATATATATTACATTATTAACAATATAATCGAGTAAATAAAATTATAATATAAAAAATTAAACTATCAAAATTTTTGACATTTGCACTACATTTAAACGTTTTATATTCATAATTTATTCGTACAAAATAAGAAATAAAAAATATAAACTCTAGTAATCACTTCTCTTCTTGTTCCTTTCCTTCATTTCATAATTGGAAATTTAGAATATTTTAAATGAGATATACGAAATATTTAGATAGTTTATATATATATATATGAGGAGAGTTCAAACGACACCGGTGTAACTTTTACTAAGTGTTATACCGCTCAATAATTTTATATTAAACGTGAATTTTGAAAATCCAACCGTTAGATTGAAAATTTATATCTCTTAGATCATATATATCAAATTTTATATTAATCTAAGATGATTTGATACTTCATTCTTATAAAACAAAATTGACGTAATATATATATTTCAAAATATACTAAAATATGAACACTTTGATTACCTTCAAGTTGTTGTTCAATTTTAACAAAATTTGACATATATGATCTAAGAGATATGAACTTTCAATCTAACGGTTGAATTTTCAAAATTTACATTTAATATAAAGTTATTGAGCGGTGTAACACTTAGTAAAAGTTACACCG